AACAAAAAAAAAACAGGGGCCAGGGAGATGGCTCAGTGGAATAAGTGCTTCCCTGGCAAGCGCAAGGGCCTGAGTTCAATCCCCAGTTCCACCAAAAAAAAAAAAAAAAAGGAAGAAGACGACGACAAAGACCTAAAGAAATCAAATACCCCATTAGATGGATCAAAACCAACAAACTGAGGCTCAGTCACTGAAGCACCACAGTGTTTCTCTCAGGGGTCAGAGCTGCAAGGAAGGTGGGAGGTCCAGAGAGCCTGACCGCTTCCTGAGGCAAGCCCCACATCTGGGCAAGATGCCAGGCTGTGGCCAAGGTGTTAACCAAAGGACTGTGGGTGAAAGAATCTATTTCAAGAGAGTCAAAACTCAAGATCATTCAACAAAAGGCAGTTCTGGTAGGAAAGGACAAGACCTACAGTATGGATGCTTTTCTTGTCCTGAAGCCACCAAATTCTCTGGAAATTCTGAGCTCTTGTCTCAACCATCTGCCTCATTTAAAGATGAATAATAAATATACAAAATAACTATAGATACTTTATATCTTGGAGAGGGCTTTCCCACATGATCTTGTTTGATACATTTATATTGACAAGTAGAAAATATGTTGATGTTTTTATTGAGATATATACATTGATGTTTTAATTGATATATAAGTATTTTCAACTTAACAGTATGTCAGGCAAGTTATTCTGAGAGAATGAATCGCCTGGACCCTTACCTAAAATAATCATCACCACAAGGGCTGCCGCATTTGCTGTGTGAGTCATTACCATGAAGAGAATGTCAGAAAGCCTAGAATCTTCTCAACATAGGCCCCTAAAGTAGAGGGACTAACACAATCTTATAATTAAATTTGTAGCAGGTAGGGAGGAAAAGTACAAATAAACACAGTGCTTTAAATTTTAAAAAAATCATTCTGAAATTCAGTTATGCTATGTCATTTTCCATAGCTACTAGCAAACTTTTTTGGACTCTGACCCCTTTTTCTACACAGCTAAGGATATAATGTTTCCTCACTGTTCTGCTCTGCGTATAAAGCTTGTGTAGAACCTTGCTTATCTGGAAACATAGGAACATGATACAAGCTACTTCCATTAAACTAGTCTCTTTAAGTTAGTTCAAAAGATGTTACAGCTGGGTAGATGGCTCAGTGGAATAAGCACTTCCCTAGCAAGCGCAAGGGCCGGAGTTCAATCCCCGGTTCCACACACACAAAAAAAAAA